CCCGTCAATAGTGCAGCCGATGTAAGCATCAACAGGAGCCTCTTCTTGTTTCCCGGCTCTTCGATGAGCATGTAACAGCGGATCCCGGGGCTCGCCGTGCTTCGCGCTCGCCACGATTTAAAAATGCCACCGAAGAATGAATTCTGTAATTTCCTGGGGGGGGGGGGGGGGGGGGGGGGGGGGTGGGTGTGTGGGGGGTTGTTGCTCCATGGTCGACGCTTCGCGTAATTCGTGACACCCGTTGGATGAAGGTCGCCGCTTTTTTTGTGCTGCGGGGGAGCGGTCGAGGGCTCCGTTGGTCTCCTCATCGTGGCGCGGCGCCGTCAACTTGACGGAGCAGGCGAGCAGAGCGCGAAGCAGGCCGCGCTCCATGACAACGTACGGCACAGCTGCCAGAGTCGATCACCCTGAAGAGCCGAGTACTAAATCTTCCGTCACATCCACTAAGTCTTTGCCGGAGAGGAGGAAAGCCGGCTTTGAGTGGGGCTCATGGACTCCCGGTTGGAGTGGCGGAGGCTCGCATCCTGCCCAGGGAGCCGCTCGCCCACCCGTCCGGGCCCTTGACCCCCCCCCCCCCCCTCTCCTCCCCGTTCGCTCTTCCATTTCTGACACCAACCAAACCCCCGGTGCCCGGCATGTACCGGCGCCCGCGGGGTTTATTGTCAGATTGGTGGGGTGGGGATCGCGCCACGAAAAACCCCTTGAGCTCGGTTCAATCCCCGGCCACGGCTCGTGCCGAACATCAGCGGCCGAACCGGTCCTGGACGCTCTTGTTTCTTCGCCGACCACGCTGACCAGTTCGGGTGAAGTATGGTTAAACAACCACGTCGACCGACATGCAGTTGGGAGGCGCTCGATCAGCAGTGGACTGATAAAAGGGCTGAACGAATGAAGTAAATTTTTAAAGACAACCAGCATCTGCTTGTACATCTCCAATATGTCAATGTTCGACGCCCATTTTTGGAAGGCAATCAAGCTTAAATATGAAAGCAAAAAAAAAATCAAAGGCACGTGACTGTAAACGGAAGACACCGTGGCCAGCTGCCGATGGCTGTGACCGCCAGAGATTGCGATCCGTCTTGCCCGCTGGTGCGCTTGGCTGGCTAACGTGAGGTGGCAGACCTTTGAAAGCGGTCAATCTGGCACCGAAATTGGTGCAGTCTTCCAGAACAAGGGCACCCAAATGAAAATATAAACCGCGCGCGCGCGCTGGCACGGGCACGCCGCGGGAACTGACACCTCCGGCGTGACGACGGACCCCCACCCCCCCCTCCCCCTCCCCCGTCATCGTCACGCCGGCGAGTCGGCGCGGGAAAGAGAAGAGGTGTGGCGGTGGCTACCCTTGGCGGCGAGCGGCGCCCGGTTTCCCTCGTCTCGTAACGACGACGGCGGATCGCGCGCCGCCGGCCAATTACGCCGCGGCGCTTCCACTCTCCCCCGTTGGCCCGCGTGGCTCCGTCTTGACCTTGACACGGGCGGCTTAAAGACTCGGGCAAGCAGCACTTGCGGTCCTAATCAGGGGGAGGGCCTGACAGCTGCTCCATCACGGGCCCCGCCACGCTTGCTTAGCGCCCGCCGATTGATGTGCGCGCCCAGGGAACGCGATTCCACCCCAGGTCCATTGCTTACACCTGCGGGGTGTCCTGCGGCTCCACGCTATGCCGATGCAGTCGCGTTCAATAAAGGGGATTTAATAAGTCTACTGCGCTCGGTGAGACGGGAGCGGAGCAGCAGGGTTCGGATTCCCTTTGTTTTGGCGCCCTGTCGGTTCTGAGGGCCGAGCGTTAAAACCATGATTTCCGATCGTGTAATCGCATTTTTCTTTTTATATGTGAAATTTCCAACACTGGCTCGTGGCTGTAAGTGGGAGATGGGCACTGCCGAAATGTTCATTTGAGCAGAAGCCACTTTTATTTTGTCGATCTACTGCTAGATTAAGGCCTCCCCATGCCGTGTTTTTCATTGTAGTTGGTTTCACCTTCATACCGGTTTGGGTATCACTCGCCACTCGTGTTAACCATGGGCAGGAATTGAACAACCAATGTCAGGTTTCTAGAGCAGTGCTCTTACTACTGCACCATTGCTCGACTCCATCGTCGAATTATAATTGCAATTAAAATTAAGCACTTTGAATACATCAGCAATACCGTAGACGTTTTATAAATACATTAATCGCAGTTTGATATACGGAAACAGAATATCGCGTGATCATATGTTACCCTAGTCGGCAGCATATTACCGCATTTGTCTACAAAAATTGGAAAACCTACCCTTGTAGGAATTTTAATCATCCTTAAATTTCTCACAAACAAGCACAGGAGCCGTCAAGTAAACACGAACCAGATCCCATCACGGCAGCCCCCGGCGTCATCGCATCGCCTGCCGCCCACCCCCCTCCCACGGGCTTCATCAGGGTCGGGACTCCATCAGGGCATCGCCCCCCACGGAACCGTGCTCTGCTCTGCGCCCATCTCCTACCTTGCCCCCCCCCCCCGCCCCCCCATCTTTCCACCTTGCACCCCCTCTTTCTCCTGCGCACCTCATCTGCGACCGCTTACCACCGCCATCCCCTGCGTGTGCGTCAACGCGCCTGCCCTGCCGTGATCCTTCAGCCCCGCTGCTGCTGCTGCTGCTGCTGCCCTGCTGCTGTCCACAGCTGTGGCCACGTCTCCCGTACCCCCCCCCCCCCGTGCCGCTGGTGCGGAGGCTCCACCTCTGAGACAGCTGGCACGGCCGCTGCTAACGAGGCCCCGACAATCGCAAGGTTACGAAGTACTCGAAGAATGTTACCCGCTGTTATTTCTATTGTGGAAGTCATTTTAAGGTGCAGGCAGTGTAGTATTTACCTTCTCATTTTTTTGGTTTATGAATATAGATTTTTTTTCCCCCCCTCTCAAATTAAACTCGCATTCAATGCGCAGCTGCTGGAATTGCATCATGTAATTTATTACCGAATTATGTCCGGCGTTGGCAGGGGAGTAGCATTTTTTTTCCTGTAATAGCTAACGTGTCATTAACGGATGTCAATATTAATATCGATGTTAAAAGCAATAATTATTGAGAAAGCGATTTTCGTCAAATGTAATATGTAAAATGGATATCTACCTGTGATGCTAGACCCTTGGGAGGCCTTATGAGAGATGAAAGAGAGGCAGCGCCATACACAGAGCGTGCGTGCGTGTAAATTTATGGATTTGTACATGCACAGCTCTTTTGAGTGCCTTTCCATGCCGTACGGGCTGCGGGGGTAATTTGTCCATACTTCACGCCGACTGGTGCTTGTCGGTAAAGGCAGGAAGCATAGATGTTCAGTACAGCAACGGAGTTTACTGAACTGCACGCTCTTGCCCATAACTCAGCCCTGCACCTGCTATGCATGGCAGTCGCCCATCCAAGCACTATGCAGGTTAGATCCGAACTGGCTTGCGAGAATTCACGTACCCACTCGCCCAAGCGTGATGGAGAGATGAGTCCGTTAAATTGTTGTCACGGCTTCATGGCTATGAAGGGGAAGGAAGTGGCATTTCTCATGTCCTGGCCGACGGCTAAGGCCAGTGGACGAGACTGGTGATGGAAGGACAGCCAAAGGGGGTAAAGGGGGAGCCCATCTGAGAGAGTGACTGCTGTCGAATGGATGCCCTTGCTGCACCTGCAGTGGCGTGAGCGAGTAATCGCAGGGCTGCACTTTGACCTTTGCCATCCAGCCACGTGCAATTTGTCCGAGGCTAGCTTGGTGCCGCAATGCTCGAGCGGAGGGTCGGTGGCGGGAGACTCCGGGACGCGGCCGGCCCTGCCGCGCCAGTAAAGTTTCACGCTGAACAAACACATTTCACAAAACTAATGAAATACCTGCTCACGTGCTCTATATCCTGCAATAAAAGCAAACCTACATCCATCTGTCATCGACGGGACCTCCGCCACTTGGGCGGGATTCTCGGGCACGTGCCGGGAGCCTCCCCCCCCAACCCCCAACGCCGGCGACTCTGAGCGACGCGCGGCCACGTGGCAGGACCTGGAATCTGATTACCACCACCGAACCCCTCCCTACCGCATGGTGACCTCATAACCCCCCCCCCCCCATCCTGCTTATGAAGCCCTCTCTCCCTCCAGCGCTGGCACGGCGTCCGCTATCCGGCTCGAGGCCGCCTCCCCAATTATCACAGCCACAGTCATGGTGTGGTGCACCTGGCGCAATTTGTATCAATTTGAATGCCCCACGCCACCTTCCCTCGGCATTTCATTTGAATTTTCATTGTTATTGTGAATAATTTCTCTTACTGGCACAAGCCATGAAATATGCTAATGTACCCCCCCCCCCACCGTCCGTGCAAATAAAATGCATGATAAATAGTGGAGCTTTCACTTACTTACAAATTGGGAGGTGAGTGAGTGAAAAAAAAATAACCCGTACGATAAAAACAGACGGATTTCTCCCCCCCCCCACTTTGTGATGTTTATTGACAGAAGGGGGGGGGGGAAAGCACAGCATCTTTATTTATCCAAATGCAAACACAAAGCATCCAAAAAATGCATCTGGCGTTGTGCAAGAAATGTCACCCATTCATCATGCACGGACACGTGGCTCTCCCATAGGTCATGAAAGTGGCATGCCGTAATGTCAATGCTTTGCCGAGAATCTATTTCCTTACATAATGCATTCATATTGGCATTGATCCAGAACTGTCAATGAAATGCTTAACATTTTTTTTCACCCCCGCTCCGTAATCATACGACATCGGTACAAAGCGTATTCCCATCACTCACCGGATTGTGTGCGACGTGCGCGTCAATACCCTCGTGGGTGGACTCGTGCCGGGCGGGCGGAGAGATGCACGATGCGTTCATCGATCTGGAGCGGCCGAGCGGTCAACAATGCCGGCACCGCGATAGAAACAACGGGGGTGCGGGGTGCGCGCAGGGAGAGGTGAAGGCGACGGTGATCCCCCCCCGCTCCACCGCTGTCCCCCCCCCCCCGCCTCCGCCGCCCACTGCCCCCGTAGAAATGTTCGCAAGAGATGAGGCTGTGGCAGCGCGGGAGGTGCGAGCTGTCGGAGCGGGCGGCCGGTCTGCTGCAGCGGCTGCCCTCGCTGGGGCCGCTCGTGGAGGCGAGGCTGCTGGTGCTGGCCGGAGAGTGGGACTGGCTGGAGGTGCGCCGATGCTAACGAGGCTCTCGTGGCCGGCGCCACGTTTCTGGGCCGACGATTACTTTTCCACCGTACGACCGAGCAGCACCGGGCCGGCGTGACGCTTCTCGCGAGGCGGCAAATTATTTTTTCCGCCGCAGGAGCCCAACCTTGCCACTGAAGTCACGCGCAACTAGCGTGGCTGTTGTCACGCATAATGGATGCGTCGTTAGCCCTGGCCCTGCGTGGCCCCGAACCAGATTCGGACATCGTTTGAGGTCACGGAAAACCACCCATACTAGGGGGGAGGGGCCCAGCACTGGTTTGGCTCGGATGTGCCGGTGGAAAAGTGGTCCATTAATAATCAAATAAATGACTATTCACTGCCCTTTTTATGAATCCACTGCTGAATGAAGGCCTCCCGATTCCATAACTGCCATTGGGTTGTTTGATCATACTTCCCCACCCTGGACATTGCAGGTTGGTTAAGAAAGGGTGAGCCAGGACTGGTTTAGATATTCCTTGCCACTCGTGTGAGCCGTGACGGAGAATCGAAGTTGGGTCGATGGGTTCATATCTCGGTGCACCAGCAGACTCCACGGCCGCCACCCCCCCCCCCCACTCCCCCACCCGCATGTGATCGGCTGAATCCCTGAATGAAGGTGCTCCTCTGCACATTTACATGGGGAGCAGATGTTCCAGGCGCAGCTCGTGATTTTAGCTGCGAGCTGGGGATTTGCCGCGTCGCGGCGCGCGCGGAGAGGGGGGTGGGGGGGAGAAAAAGAAGAAACTCTGTCCAGGTGAAACTTCCACGCACGCCGCCAGTGCACACGTGCACCGGCGCTGTTTGCAGATACGGGCGGAATTGAATTTTTCAAATTCATTTACTTGGGCTCTCATTCCACTTATGGCATAATCTCATAATGCAGGTTTCTAACGGTCCTCCGTGCGCGCGTTGGCAGAAGGAATTTAAATTACAATGGGCGTGCGCCAAATTAAGCTGTCAAAAAGGAATTTCGTACACAATCTGGGCTCCCCTCTACCCGCCCCCCACCCTACCAGAACACCGCGCAAACATAATTCGTGCCGAATGCGGTGACGGTGCCCGCTCACCTGGGAGATGGCGAGCGGGCGCACTAACGATCCCGGCATTCCGCTCGTGCGCCAGCGGCACGGACCGAGGGAGTGAGATGTTATTTATTTATTTAACGGGCAGACTGCCGCCCCGTTTGTTGGTGGGGGTTTTTTTTCTTTCTTTCCGGCGCTCATCAGCGATGCGCGTTCGTGCGCCCGCGTTCTTGCGAGTTATACCTTTTGACTTGGCGAGGTGGCCCCTGATGGTTCCCCCGTGCCGGGTCCCGCCCCCACTTTGCTCTCGGCCTTGCGCCCTTTTTGTTCCCTGCGACGGCGCCCGGCGTCGAGCCGACGGCGCCCGGGGAGGGCTTTGCCCTCTGCCGTCCGTCATCACGCGGCGTGGCCCCCGTTTGGACTGACCCTGAGCACGGTTCCCGCTAAATGCATTATTTCGAATTTCAAATTGGGGGCAATTAATTAGGAGCTTTAATTGTATTATAAACAAGGCACTGTGACACATCCACGCGGAGTTCATTATAACGTCGTTATAATGGACCTCTGCTGCGTTTCCAGAGCGGGGCGGGCGTTTTGCGGTGAGATCCCGTATGCGACTCGGGAAAATTTAATCTGAGCCTCGGTCATTTTTCACGCGGATCTAAGCGCACGTATACACGCACGCGGCGCCACAATTGCGCGTTATGGAATCAATTCGGAGGTATATTTTTCTACAGGTGATCTGAGCGTGAATCATACCTGTCAGCTTGATATTGCTGACACGTAGAGAACATTTGCTCGAACGCGGCTGCGTTTATTTCCGAGCAATCTATTAAACGTTGCGCGACAAAGGAGGGACCTTGAGAATGTTGGTGGCTGCGGCGAGGAAACCGAGAGATCTCTGGACGCGGAGACGATTTTAATCGCTGCCGCACGGTCTTCGCAGGGCCCCACATTACACGGCGTCGACACAAAAAGCGGCGAAAGAAGCCCAGCGGCAGGGAGCCATCGTAATCCCAGCGCCGCTCGCACCCCTTCTCTGAGATTACAACCCCATGCAGTCCGCGAGGCAGGTGGCCCAAGGGTTAATGGCAATGTTCAGCTGATCAGCCAAACCCAGCGGCCTTTTGGGGATGGAAATATGACTCATCCCGGATAAAACATTGAATAACACAGCGGCGGCAAGGACGGCTACAACAGAAGAGCCTCGGTGTCTGCGTGCAAAAAAAACGAGCGGTCGACATTTGAAAATCCCACCCTTGGCTATTCATCTCACGCGTGCCGACTGTCGTGATTTGCGGCCGTTGTTGCAGGCCCGGGATACAGTGCGTGCCGTAGCTCAGCGTGGCCCGCCCGGCACGATACCGCGGGAATGCCTCGGCCCCGGAGATCTGATACCGGGTGCGGGAATCCTGCCTGCGCGCTCTTTGATTAAGAAACTCGGAGCGGCGAGGAGTCGACCGATCGCGTTCACAATGAGAACCGCGCTCCTCTTTGTTGCTGCAATATTTGTACAGACAGGTCCTTAATAAAAGGGTTGTGCGTTTTTTTGTGTCGGGGACAGGAATCGCCTTTGAGGCAGCGAATTCAATTACCGCCGACTTCTCGGCAGCTTTTCGGGCTGAGAGCCGCACCTTGCGAGGGGGAGCTTTGTTTTCCCCGGGATCGGGCAATCTGCAGCGCTGACAGCCAAATGCAGTATTTTCACAGCGGTAGCTGCTGTGCTGGATAAGATGCGGGCAAATCGAATAGCCCGTGACATTTTATTCCCTCTGTGCCCGATGGTTCTCGCCATGCACAAATTGAAAAATCAACCCTTCTCCGGGCACAAGCGTCCACAACACTCCCAGCCACGAACAAAGGTCCAGCGGAATAGTTTGGGCACCGAGCTCATTCACCAATGCTGGCACGCCGAGCGTGATTAAAAGTCAAACTGGAGTGTAATGTAATTGTGCTTGGTATTAACCGCGGCATTTAGAGTGATATTAATTTCAAAGGGTAATTTTGAGGATGATATTTTTCCGGTGGCGACTACATTACCTCTTTTTTTGTATCTTAGAAAAAAAATTGTACATTTGAAAAACTTTGTGGGGCACTTTATCTTGGATATACAAATCACGATGAATAAAATCGAGTGTTTTTTTTTTTCAAGTCGCGTGTAACATGAGTAACACGAATTATGAATTTGTTGGCCCTGGTAAGTAAAGAAAAAAACGGAAAGCGATCGCTCAGGCCGTTCACGTCTCGGCACTACAAGAGGGGTCAATGAAAGCTCCTCGGGGGAGCCTCTCCGCTGACGGATAAAGTCGGCTTGTCTGTCTCCCAGGCACGGCTGGGGCGACGCGGAGCAGCAGAGGGTGAGGGGGGCGGAGTCCCCCCGGGGCCTCGGCCCGCGCCGCCGCCTCCTCCTCCTCCTCCGCCGCTGCAGGACGAGATCCGGGAGCTGAGGGCCTGGCTCCGGGAGACGGAGCTCTTCATCTTTAACTCATGCCTCCTGCAGGCCCCGGCGAGCCGAGACCTCCCGCAGAAACGGCTCGATGCCTTCAAGGTACGACGGCGTGGCTTCCTGCTCCGCCGGTGGTTCGCTGGATATTGGGAGTGTGCGGCGATGGCTTGCCTGCCTGCCGCGTTATCCGAAACATCGCCGTTGTCGTCTTCGTCATCGTCTTCGTCGCTCGCTTGCGTGAAAATGTCACGTGCCGCATTGCCGTGGCCGTGTGAGTGAACAAACACCGCCGCTGCGCAGCACGTAATGGCGCCGAGGATGGGAGTTTGTCATTTATTTTTTAAAATAGCTTTAATGATTACAACAATCAGTGCTTGTAATTGCGCACCATCTATTACCTTTGGCTCCGGGTGCTTCGTTTGGATTTTTTTAGGGATGGAGAGGACACGGGGCTAATTGCTGCCACGATGGGACAATTTATGAACTCGGTTCAATTAAATGTTACTAACTGCTCGCACCCTTGAGCCCATAAAAAATGTCAATTGCGCGTATTAAGTTCAGCGCTCCGAGTGTGTGTGTGTGTGTGTGTGTTTTTGCTGGGGATGCTACATAACATGAGTCCGGCAGAAGAAGAAAAAATTCAATCAAACTCCATGTGCGGCCAGAGGGAATTTGAGATACAACGCCACATTTTTCTCATGTCACTGTAAATTAGATACATGCTATAGGCGTGGGCGAGCTCATCTCGCACGTGCTGCTTTGGGGCATCGCGCTCCTCACGGTTCGATCTCGTGTGTGACCTTGTGACCCGGGCCGAACTGCACCCAGCTGCACCGACATCGAGCGTCACGTGACGTCTTTGCGAACCTCTTCGGTGTGTTTTAGGTCGCACCGCGTGTTGTTTTGCACGACGTGCGACGTTTCGCCCCACGTGTTGTTCGTACACCGTTTCAAGGATCTGAAATTTCAGTTTTCTTCAGAAGCTCCCCAGATGGTGGAGCGAAATGTCGGACATCATGCCAAACAACACACAGCGCAAGTCGAACCCGCCGGAGAGCCATGCGGCAGCGGTGGTATCACGGTGGTGTCTCTGAATACTGTAGCACAACCAGGATGGTACAGTGCCTCACAGCAAGAAGCACCTGGGTTCCATTGCTGACTCTGGCATCTGTGTAGAGTCTGTATACTCTCCCCCTCTTCTGCATAGGTTTTTCTCCAGGTTCTCTGGTTTTCTGGAATTATTATTGCCATAACTGTATACGGAATATCAGTGCGCAGGATTGTTTTAATGCATTCCTGTCTCACCACTGTGATTTATCTCCAGTGGGAACGGCATTCCACCTGCAGATGAGATCTATTTTCACCGAGCCTTGCTGTGCATTAAAGCAGTCTCGACCCTGTTTCTTCCTATTTCCTCGGTGAATGCACTGACTTCTTAGAGGCGCGTACGTGCCGCGTACGTGTGCACATGCCGAATGCTTGCCGGGCCAGCGATGGAAGGCCGTCGCTTTCGACACCAGCGCCAGATGTCCTCTTGCGGGCATCTCAATAATCCATGTTGCCGGCACAAAGCACAGCGCCGTAGCTTTTTTGATCCACGTTGCTGTTGAGATTTATGAGCTAAATGGGGCCCCCTCTCTTCCCCGAACGTGGCTTTCTGTTCCTCAATGTTTCATTAGGGCTGTGCCTGCGGGCTTTGTTTGCAAGGTCGCTCCTATTGACTTGGCGGATTATTAAATGTTTTCCTGCCATGGCGTTGTGGTTCGTAGAGAAATTTGGAATTTCAGGCAGAGGACAAGTCTAGGTAGCGTGCGAACCTTCCCGCACGTACAATGTTGGAGCCGCGGTCCGGTTACGCTTGACGTGGAACGAGGCTGGACGGCAGGGCTGTCGCAATTCATCGACGATACACGCACCGCATTATTTGCTTTTGAATCGTTGCTTTTGCAACTGATATTTTTTTTTGGTTTGGTTGAAAACATGGACCCCACTCCACCCCACCCTCCTGGGTCTTACTCACTTGCATATATGTGTGTTGAACTTATTTCACACATACGTACGTAGCCAACCGTGCTAACCTTACTCCATTTAAGACCAGAAAACGGAAAGGCATCTTCACAGTTCTGGCAATCGCATAATAATTCTGGTTGTAATCACCAACAAAGCATCATACTCACTTGTCAATGCTGTGGGTTTGTTCTCTAACACGCAACCATTGTGCTGATGTTGTCACAAATTGGCACGTTTTGTTCATGTGACAAACCATACTAATTGTCTGTGTCGGGTGGAGGCGTTTCTGAGAACAGCTGGTTTATTTTTCATGGGAATGTTATGTAAATTATATGCAAATTATATGTAAATTATATGCTCATGGAAAGTTCTACGATTTGGGTGACTTCACGACTAAAATTTCAAAATAATTTTGAAGGTAATTTTCTGCAGTTATAGAGAATACAGCTTATCTATGGGATTTGTCGATGGTTTTACAAGAGAAAGATCCCCTTTGTAGCATGAACAGACTGTTGGGGCAAGGGCTGTTAGCGACCGCCTATGAAGGCTGGCACGGTACACGAGGAGGTGGGTGGCCAGCACCACGCCCAGTGACGATGTTTACACGCCGCACCAGGTACTCATTTCAGACCAAGTCGTCTTATGGGATGCGCAGGACTGGTGTTGGCCCTGAGCGAGAGTCGGAACTCGGATCACCGGGTTATTAACACAACAACAACCGTCATTCACCACTGAGTGGCGGTTACGTCACCATGGCGCTTGTGCCAGACTGTGTGAATGATAAGGCCACGTTAAGTGTCGGAACGTCCGCTGGCAGGAGGTCACGGGAGAGACCTAGGGTGCCCCCTTACTGTGTAGCACAGCTTCGTGTTTGACACGCACGCGCACACTCAACTGAATTCACCATCCCAGCGTGGACAGAAAATGTAATTCCGCCCAAGTACGCCAGCTGCCACGGTATTTTATGAGCCTTTCTCCTTTGGCAAGAAAAGTCCACGAGTGATTTCCATCTGAATTTTAGTCCTAATTGGTCGACACACTCTGCCAGAGTAAAAACAAACAAACAAAAAATGCCACTTCATGATGTTATATGGACATTGACCCACATCCTTGAACACGTCTTAAATGTGAAATGTGCGTCAAAAATATTGGAGCTGTGTCCTAATCTTACGCTTAGGCTGACGGAGCATGGGGGGTTGTGGGCAACAAATGTAAAAAGTACAAACGAGACGAAACGTGCAAAGAAAACACGATTCCTTAATTCACTCTCAGCCATGAATTTCATTGGTTTTTTTTACTAAATTGTCTAGGCCCTCGCCGGAGCGTGCGTGGTGAAAGATGCCGGTGGTTGACGAGTCCCCACCGCTCGTCCTTGGTTCGGTTCCACACAATTGCACGGCACAGACCAAAAGGCCCCAAAACGCCAATCGTCGAGAGCAAAAAAAACGGCACTGCTATTAATGCTGCCATAGATATGAGAGCGAATACGTTTTTCTTGAATTGAGCAAGGTTTTTTTTATGCCAACTTGGGAAAAGAGACGTTGGGGAGGGAATTTCCTTAGGGGGGGGGGGGAGCAGTGCAAGAGAAGAAGCAGAAAGAGAGGTGAGGGGGGGGCTGCAGTGTTGTGAATGTGCGTGCGTGCGTGGGTGGTTGTCTTGTCGAGACCGTAAGTGTGGGTGGGACAAAACATTCGGGTCTGATGGACAGAGTCCTCAAATCGGATGGAGGAATCAACGAGTGAGTTTCACAGGAAAAAAGTAACCATGGTAATAGCGATAAAAGAGCGCTAAAAAGGAGGCGGCCGGCCGCCGGTGAGCGCGAGCGACTGCAGTGAATTGGTGAGCGTTGGATCGTCAGTCACCCTGACTTGCTTCACGCTGAATCCCATCATCGGTCTGTTGCGGCTTGCGCGGGGGGACGCTGAAGAGGTTAGCAATGCAGTAACGCATTCGCCGTCACTCAAGCGGCTGTTGTTTTCATTTAGGAGACACGGCGCTTCTCGCGTATGACTTTGATGCGACGGTCAAGTAGTCCTCCTCCCTCGCTGTGTGCGACTGTTATGTCATTTTTATGTAACGCGGTTTGAACGAGTGTGCTTACACCCCCGCTGTAATGGCCCGCGACCCCTCGCCGCCACCTCCGTCGCCGCCGCCACCTCCGCCGCCGCCACCTCTGCCGCCACCTCTGCCGCCACCTCGGCAAATGAGATGCAGCGTTCGTGGCGTTATACCTCGCAAAAAACAACACGTGCCGTTGTGAAGGGGGGGGGGGTGGGGCTTGTATAAAGGTCCATAGGGAGCCACGCGTACGCAAATACACACGCCCGTTCAAAAATATACGCACGCAGAAGCGTGCACCGCGTGTGTGCGTATAATGCACTGTTGCTGCTCCAGCGACCGTACAGAAGTTAATCAAAAAGCAATTGGGAAGAATGTTCTATTTTTAATGAAAGGCGATGGGAGAATTTGACGTTTCGGCTGACTGGGCTTCGGTTACATTTTATTTTATTTAGTTTTTTTATTTTTTACTTTTACTTACCTCGGACGAAAAATAAAAATAACGCGCGTGCACACAATTTACGAATTCATTTGAATTAACGTGTATACACGACACGAGGGCCGTCAACCCGAGGTGAGCGCCCACTGCCTCGATGCCCGTTTCAGCAGCAGACGTCCGTGAGCGTGGAGCTGGGCTTCGAGCGAAGAGTTCGCGGCGTGGTCATCGTTTCCCCGCGAGGGTGCAGCTCGTTAGCGGCCGTGGCGATGAGCACGAATACCGAACTTCATTAGCGCGCGGTAGTTCATTAGGCTGCGGCTGTGAGCGTGAGCTCACACAATTGGCCATTTTGAGCCCCATAAAAGGTGATCATGCAAATACTGCCTTGTAATTATTTCCCTTTTGTTGGTTAATTAGATAAAATATTGGCACAGGTTCAAAAGATTAAGTGGCTTGGTGCGTGCCTGTGTGCGTGCCTCGCCGACGCAGTGAGATGGATCGTTATTTTCACCGTGAATGGGTCGCGCGGGTTTTGATGGCCGAGCCGGGTGTGAGAGGTTGCTCGGAACGACTGTTAACGTAAAATATTTAACAGAACGAAAGCTGCAATAACTAATTGAAAAAAATCACATTAGTATTTGTTCAACATGTTGTGGTACCGGGAACAGCGGATATAACCTTTAGGGCCCTTCACTGGTGAAGTCTGTTTAACTAATAATTTAAATGCAAGAAGTAATATAATAGATTGGCAATGGTTTGCATGTGTTAGAAATAAATTAATCTGTGTAATTGCTTAATAAGTCATTGGAATAGTTTTGCTTAGTTAAGTGTGAAATTGTGCATATTTAAGAAATATTTTTAGTTTCCCATTATTCATGCGCACACATGAGGAATGTGCGCAAATCCAATGACATTTTTGGTAGAGCAAGGAAATTAATTTTTTACAGTTTACCTTGTACCATAAAAAAATAACATTTCTCAATTAATATTTCTGCACACTTATGCTTTTTCAGTGGGGGGAAAAAAAAATGCAACTAAAACCTAGCCTTGCCCGCTGCTGCAGCCAATCCACGACATGGAATATCCGAGGCCTGCCACCGACCTACGAGGGTTAAGGTTCACTCGGGAGGGCCGACGTCACGGCGCCGATGTCTGGCATGACCCACGTAAGAAGCCTCCGGCACCAAGGAGCTGGCGGTGGCAAAGCTTCCGTGTCGGGCCTTGCCGGTGCAGCGGTGCCGTGCGCAGGAGATAACTTCTGCCTAAAAACCGCACGGAATGCTAACGAGGCTCGTCGGCGCGCGATGCGCCGGGCTAAATCGATTTCAATTCACACGGGCGGAACGTCGCATCGGCGGCAGCCCGGCACGCGCGCGGCGCCGGGTTTGGGTTTAATCCCCGGCGCTCGTGGCCCTTGCCAGGCCAGGTGGCTCGGAGGGGTGAGGGGGCAACGTGGTTTTGGCTGCGCGCGCAAAGCGGACGGCACCCGCGTTTTCTTGAACGCCAAACACAACTCGGTGTTTAAAATGGGCGAGGGGGAGTTGCTGTGGAAACGGTTAAGTATTTTGTTGCGGAGGCTGTATGTATATTTGCAGACCACTTAGTGCAGCTCCCCGCAGAGCTCAGCCACCTCCCTTGGGGAATTAATGTTAACCTAAGCTTTTGCACTCAGACTTGTTTCCGCTGTGCGATACGGTGAAATTAAACACCTTATCGTCGCACACCTGTCGTCGGACCAGGCGGAGTGGGGAGGAAGGTCTCTGTGCATGCGCGCGCGTTTCACTTGGAGCGGTGTGGATCGGTTTTAAATATTTAAACCTCACGGTGACGCGAAATAAAGTGAGCAGGCCCCCCCCCAACATCAGTCGTGCTGTGTATAAAGCATGCATCTGTCCACGTGTAATGATAATTCATTAAATTGCTTCAAATCTGCTGCATTTGAATGTCTTATTGTGAAACGTTTCGCGCGAGCGTTTTCCATCGTGGATCCTCCGTGGCGTGCGTTCTACTCGCGCCATACCGTACTCGATTTCCAACATGGGATTTGTCGAACGAGGTTTCGCATCTCTCGGGCAGGCTGATCCCCTCGCCACAGTCTTATTCTTTTCATCAACCCATCAACCAATAAATACTCAAACGAGCAGCAATTGAAACAAACGATTGGTGCGTGCCCCTTTTCAGGCGTTGTGCCAGGAGGTCGGGCAGCGGAGGGCGGCGGTGGTGGCAGCGCTGGGGCGTTGCCGCACCGCCCTGAGCGGCCAGGGCCCGGCCTTGTCCCCGGACGAGCGGCAGGGCCTACAGGCGGCCGCCGTTAACCTGAGCCGCCGCTGGGACGCGATCGTGAGCCAAGCGCAGCAGTGGCGGCGCCAGCTCGTGGTGTGTGCGGTGAGTGAGTTTTCTCTTATCCAGCCTGCTTGAGCACAAGTTTAAAGACAAAAAAATGGTAAGCCGCCCGCAACAAACAGCACTATTGAGGGGAGAGTAGCCAAGAGTTGGTGCGTATTCTTGAATTGAGCCAGTTTATAAGAGCTTGGGAGGAGAGATGACGTCGTAGGGAATTCTAGAGTGGAGCAGTGCCAGGGAAGAAGCAGAAAAAGAAGTTTTGTGACCTACAGTGTGATGAGAAAATAAGTGGGTGTGGCCTTAAAGTACGCACAGCCTGGCACAAGCCGCGTGGTGATGTCACCGCTAATTAGTGGCGAATGGCGGTTGTTGAGTGAATGGATGAGTGGGTGAGTGGATGAGTTGGTGAGTGAATGGATGAGTGGGTGAGTGAGTGGATGAGTGGGTGGGTGGGTGAGCGTGTATATGCGTGGGTGAGCGGGTGAATGTATGGATGATTGAGTGGATGAGCGGGTGGGTGAGTGCGTGGATGGGTGTATTGTTGTAATCTGCAGTGTGGTGGTGGATGAGACGACACGGTCGGTGTCTGCGAGACCGAGTCCGCAATGTGGGTGGATGACGGCGGTGGCGGTGGTAATGATGCCCCGTGTGTTTGCCGCCCGTGTGCGAGGCCGTCGATTTCGATCGGGAGCGGCAGAAGGGAAAACAAGGGATATATCACATGTGGAGCAGCGGTCAGGTTATGTGCCAGGGGTGGAGGGGGATAATGCTTGGGAGGGGTAGAGTTGGGGTGGCATTAGGGAAGGGGCCTGTTCGTCAGTTGGTTGTCAAGGGGAGGTAGGAGCAGTGGCGACCGGTGGTTTCGTAGATATAAATGTTAATAGATATAAACTTAGTATAAAGAGCCTAAACACGCATCGATGTGGCGCTGACTGTGATGAAGAGCGCTGTGGTTTTCAAAACACCCATCATGTGCTGCTCATGGAGTAGAACGTGTGCAGGTAACCATTGTGTTTTTCCCAGTTGAAAATGTTTTCTGTGGTGCCAGGGCCCACCACCATTCCCAAAAGACCCAGCTCTGCCACTGGGTGGGGGTAGGGTTAGTGCCGAAGTCTGGTTGATGATGAGTGTCGTGCCTCTCTCTCTCTCTCCGTGTGCTCCCGCGCTATCGTACTTGGCATGATGCTTTTACTTTTGGTGTTCGCATCTCCCCAACCCCCCGCACGGCAGACACAGAGGAGGGCACTTGCGGCCGCACGCATGCCGAGTGTGAACTCCAAGCTCTGCGCAGTGCTCTTGTTTTGACTTCTCTTTAATGTGGCGTGAGAGCTTTTAGAATAATTTGGCTCGGATGTAAAACGTTATCAATTTGCTGGTGGCAGGCGTGCGCCAAACAGAAACATTTATAATTGCGTGCAGTGCAGAAAGATGCAAAACATTATTAATGACACGTTCCACATCTGCATTTTAATTAATTGTGTGCGCTTTCTCATTGTTATTTATGCGCTAACAAATTTCGACGAAACAACTCTGATTAATATTACATATATTCTGCAAATGAAAATGCAGCACTATACAAGTGTTTAATTTTGTTTTCCCAAATGCATTAAGCCTTATTTAATAATAATAAAAAAAATCTAACAGCAGTGCCTCGGCCTTTTCCGTCCTTGTTGCAGGTTGATGTCGGTGACATGGACTCGATGAGCGTGGAAACGCTGCTAATCCCAGATCAGGTCATGGACTGGGATGTCACCGACGCGCCCAATGACCTCATTCACCATGACGGCGGGATACAGGAGCGGCTCCGAACTGGAACGCAGCCAGTCCCCATATCGGCAAATTCCGCACGTTTGAGCGCTGGGGTAAAGGGAGCAGAAACCGAACGGCACTCGGAGTGTCGCGGATCGGCCAGCGAGGGACGGGGTCCCCGGATCCTTCATTTGCCGCCCCAGGACACCGCGCCACCAGACGGAGGCCCACGCGGCGAACATGGGAACGGCGCGGCGACTGACAGCCCCCACTGTGTCGCGATGAATCATTTAGAGCTGCTTGCTCAGCTCGCGGGAGAAGGGGTTGGTGGATCATGCTGCCAGCAGCCTACATGCAGCCACAACTCCACCAGTAATAATACAAATAATCATTACGCAAACTCTCAATCGGATACGTCTGACGGCCACGATGTTTTTCCTCGTGCGAGCACGGGAGAAACGGGAAAATCGGATGGCTGTGGATTTACGGCCGACGTGGTGTGCGCTGCAAAGAGCGAAAATGAATCCATCAGCAGTTTGCAGCGTTCGCCTAAACCTACGCGGAGCGCGCTCGCGGAGGATGCTAATGCAATCCCCCAGGGTCGTGAATACGCCGATGGACAGAGAGGCCCCCGTGGAACGCGGTCCATATCGATAAGTGGTGAAGTCCACAATTCATGTGTGCGGCGGTTTGCCCCCCCGCGCATTAATAAAACATCGGCCCTGGTCGAGGCACCACGGCGCTCGGGGCGCGACGGCGGCCCTAACCCGGCCCGGTTCCTCGTCGGCGATGAAAGTACGCGCGAGAGCGGAGTCTCGGCTTCACGGGAGGAGGGCCCACTTGACCCGCTTGCTGCCTCTCGTGAAGATTCAGACGGAGCCGTGCTCACGACGACAGGCGTGTCGGCACAAGAAAGACATGTAGGGGCGAGCGCATCGACCGGGCCGGAGGTTTCTGACACGAAGGGCCGCCGTGACGCCACACAAGACGAATGTCAGGCCGTCGCTGGAGGTAACGGAGACGTTTGTGTGTCCATTCCTACTGAGCAGCAGCAGCAGCAGCAGAACGCGGTGTTGAGTTTGACGACGCTGAGCCTGATTCAGAAACTGCAGGAGATTCAGAGCCCATTATGCGCTGCGAGAAAAGAGACGTCTGCTGCTCCAGTTATTGATAGCGTTGTTTTGTCTTTCTCGGATGGCCACCCAGTGCACCAGCGGTGGTCAGACAGCGGAGGATGTCACCGTGGCCAGCGATTGAGTGAAATGATCGCTAATGATGCTGACAGTGGCGTCGTTTGTCCAGAAATAACCACCGAGAGGACAATTGATTTAAATGGCGGTCAGGCCAGTCCCGTAACAGCACTCGTGTATTCTGTGGAAATTAATAAGGATCGGTCCCTCTTACCCAAAGAGCGTTGCACGTCTCTGGGGGCAAACGCCCTTCCTTTGGACAAATCCAACCTTGTGCGGGGTGGCATCAACTCGAGCTGCAATAACGGCAGTGTCTTGGCAGCGCAATCGGCATCTGAGGACGTGGCTCCTGTGCGCTTTGAAGAAGGCGAGGAAGCAACGAACAAGATGGAGATAATGGCACATAAACGTGACGACGCCCAGCCGAGTGTTGAGGGCGATCGTTATCGGCACGATCCACAAATCCAGAGTTTTGACGAAAATAGAAAGGGTAACTCATCGAGCTGCGACTATAACACAAAAGGAAGGCTCTCTGCAGGCCCTCCCTTGAGGAAGAAAAGAAAGCAAGGGAATTCATCAACAGAAAGTGAAAAGATGAACCGCAATCGCGCGGCACCCGGCAGACAAATGGGCGAGGATGCGCGCGGTAACGACGTGCCTGGGCGCGCTGGTGGCTCGGGGTTTGCTGAACAGAGCCGTGAAGCAATCGGCCGCACGTCTCCCCAAGCCGATTCTAATTCAGCGGCTCATCGTTTATTTGATTTGACTTGTAACCAAACAGACGGAGCACGATCGCCCTTCTCAACCGTTGAATCGCGAGGCAGTGATGGAGCGGCCGACTCTCGCGCCGCCGGAGCATTTAACTTGTTCACGGATGAAGGAGTCGGCGCCGGCACCCCCTCTACAGCGGCCCCGAGGTCAGGCCGCAGCGGCACGCCCCTTGCCACCATGCACCGCTCGGAACGTAACAAGGGCAACCCTCGGCAAATGTCAACAGGTCAATTAAGTCACCCGACCGCCGTCGACATTCCCAACTTAAATTGTGCCAGGGAAGATTCGAATCTCAGCAGCAGCAGCTCTGAGATCCACGCGGCAGGGGATCAATGTGATGCAGCCTCGCACAAGGTTGAAGATAAATTGGTGCACGACTTCGTGATGGAGATCATCGACATGGCCTCGGCGGCTCTGCGCAACGTGGAGAGTCAGGACAGGGAGGGTCCGACGGGGCCAGGGTCCGCCGCCCTCATCCGCGAAAAGATACTGGAGCACTCGCAGAGGCCGCTGAGACTCCGCAAGGGCGACTTCTACTCGTACCTGTCGCTCTCCTCGCACGACAGCGACTGCGGGGAGCTGGGCAGCTGCGAGGATGAGAGGTGCCCTTCGCCGCCGCTGCCCGACTATCGGATGCCGTGCCACGGCACCGGTGGAAGAGCGCGCGCGACGTGCGGGGACGGCGGCCGGACGGCGGCCGCGTGCTGCGCCCGCGGGGCCCTGGATGAGGTTGATGACCTGCACTTCGGTGCCTGGGAGGAGGAGGATGACGACCAGTGGGAGCACGGGCCGCTGCATGGCGACAAGGAAGCATCGCGGTCTTCCAAAGACGAGAGAGATGCGGATCGTTATGAGCCGAGTGCCGCGTGTGAAACTTCCGGCGGCGCTCGCGGCTTCCGAGAAACGCGTAATGTGAAAATGGACACGTTGACGAGGAGGGTCCTTAACCCCTCTGAACTCCCAACCGATGGCGACGGTGAAAACATTAATTGCGGAATATCGCCCGGCTGTGGGCCCATTCAAACTGAAGAATTGCGCTCAAGCGCGATGAAGGGTCGCGTGGCGCGTGAAAACACCGCGACGCAGAAATGCCAAGTGAGGAGCTGCTTCGTGGAAACCGGGGAGAGAGTGGCGAACGCGCACTTGAGCCCTGGAGACTGCCGCACGTCCGAGCGGGATGGGGATGCGAGTAATGAGGAGGACGAGCTGCGCGGGAGTGCGAGAGCGTCGCGGCGGCACGCGGCGGCAGCTCGTGGCGAGGCAGAGACGTGGCAGACAACGTCGCCGGAGCTGGCAGCCATTAGTGCCGTCCAACAACACGCGGTACAAAAACAACAACGCCAACGACAGAAAGCGGGCAAAACAAACGCGGTCATGATGAACACCCGTGATGTGTGCAGGGCCCACCAAAATTAAAGGCTGTGCGTCCGTGTGTGGGCGTGCGTGACATTTCTATTTGATTTGGTGGAGCGGCGGTGTAAGTGGTCAGCACACACGCAGAGCTACAAACCCGGCCACCTGAGTTCGATACCTTGGCCATGTCAGACATTAGTGGTGATCATCTGAACCAGCTCTGGGCCTCCCCTGGGTTCACTTGACCTTAAATGAATACTTTGTGCGATGTGTAAACAACACAAAGGCGCCTGGCCGTGGTTCTGGTCACACCCACCCCCGTTGCGCGCTGTGCCAGCCTGCATGCGTGCTCGCTCACAGCACTTGTGTTTACGGTTTGGTAAGGCTATAACGGGGTATTTTAGCCTTTTGTTCGTGTTTTTTTTTGCGTTGAGTAATTCTATTGCATTTTTGTGTGTGTGTGTTACCATTGTCGACGTCCGGTTTTGATTTTTTTTCACCCCTTGTGTTTTGTTTTCCTCGTATGAACAGAATATGGTGCCAATGCAACCACATACGGAAAGGTAAAGAGTCGTATTAATAACATCCGCATGAACATGAAAGGCAAGAGTAATAGAATTCGCATTAAATATGGAACACTAATAATGCGAATTTAATGACACAAGCGTTATTAAATATACATTGTTCAAATTGAGATGTCCTCCCAAAGGCTTGATAAACCGTACATATATTTTACTTTTCGTATATATATAAAAAATGGAAATGCTTGAATCAATATTTAACTTTTAGACTTTTTGGTTACACACTGCCTCGCGTGCTTGGTGGCAGCTGCACAGGGCTTCTCTGGCGTGGCAGCCTGTGTGCGGGTCGAGGCATGATTTATTGATGTTCTGTATTGATAGGAAGGTGTGATTGATGACCTGGTACGCCCCGAGGATGCGTGTGACATCGCTGCTGAATCAGCCTGTATGGAAAAGGGAAGGGAAATTATTTATGTGAAATGTCTCTTGCGAGAATCACAAATCACGAAGTCACTCCGCTGTCTGCGGAGATGTGTGCAATCTTCGCCCCGGTGCAATCTCCGCTAAATACGTCTCATAACTTATTTAGGAGTGACATCAATCACCACATGAATTAAACAATAGCAGTGTAATAACACACAAATTGATTCAAAAAACAATCAATTTAATAAAAATGTTACTACTTACAGGCAGCAGAATATTTTATCACTGCCGCTGCATTTAATTGTCGGTGCTCGTGGGTATTGTAATTTATGTGTTTGATGATTTCGTTTTTAGATTTAGTTTTTCTTTTAAATGAATTATTATCTGGTGACTTAATATTTTAACAGAAAAAAATAGCATTTGTGTAAAAAAAATTAATATTAAAAACCAATTAAGTTCAGATATAACAATTTAAATAGCTTTTATTCTAATTTCCTCCTAAGAAATTAGTTTTTTTTTTCTTCTCTCCCTGCCCAGTGTTCGGCTGCCAGCGTCGGTGAACTGGCAGGGCGATTGCACACCTCCGGGCAGCACAGCGCTGGAGCTACCAATCACAGACCTGGCATCCACACATGTTCACTCTCGCCAACACCGCGCCGGGACACAGCAGAGATCTCGCAGCCTCCGACTTCCCGCGGCTTCATCTCGTCTCACGGCGTGCCATTCGTCTGGATCCTTCGTATCCCCTAATTGGCACGGGGCAGCGGAGGTAGGCAAATGTAACTTTTTTGCTCGGGAAAGCACAGACGCCGCCTCCTCTGGTGTCGCCGTGATTGGGAACCGCACCTTTTGCTCGTCGCCACCCGAGACTCGTATTCCTCATCGCGGCCGCGATGAGGAACACGAATTTTACGCCCCCGGCACGGACGTTGCTCACGATCCCGGCGCCCGTCATGAGCCTCCCGGGTATCCGCCGGGCGAGAACAACAGCGCCCCGACGGAGGCCGATGTCTCGCCGAAGCTCGGCTCTTCGGCGGCGCCGGCACGCGGGCGCTCGTTCGGCGGGCGCGTGTGGCGCGCGGGCGTCCTGCTCTGGGGCTGCCTGCTCGGGCTGCTGCTGCTGGCCCTGCTGCTGCCGCTGTGGCTGGAGCCGCGAGACTGCAGCCACTCGCGCTTTTCCTCCTCCTGGGGCCCCGTGCTCATGTACAGCACGGGGCCGACCCCCGTGTAGCGCCACGTGCCCTGCTGCTCGACATACGGGAACAGGCGCACAATCAGAGTCGGCTCATCGTGAAGTGTAGGAGTTCTGGTGATGATACCACTTCTGCTAACAAGCTGACAGCTTGTGCTGTTACCAGACGGGAGCAGGTACATAATCATGGACAGATACAATGTAAAGTAAATGTCCATGATTTCTGCTGATGGAAATGATGACATTGATGACGATAACAATGTCAGAATTCTGATGCTAGATCTTCTGACACCAAGCAGGGGACATATAGTGCTGCTCTTAGGCTCATGGACGTAATTGCGGTCAGGTGAACGTCACGGTGAATACTTGAGTTCTGATGATAATAGTAACGTCAGAACTGGAATGCTAAAATGTCCCACGACCGGGACAATTGCCTGATGGCTATCCTCCCACCGCCAGTATGGTTTAAAGGGAAAAGTTTTGGCGCGGAGATTCTTCAACAAAGTCAAATAGAAAGTGATAACCGCAACCTTCCATGTGAGTTTGAACAAAACAGACTGCTGCTGGTTACACCAGCGAACAGTTGTGCTTAAAAAATATACAAGTCTTGCGGTGTTCTCATTCGCTGATATTCGTATAGATTAAAAGCCAAGAGGAACTAGTCGTCAGATTATACTCTTCTAGATGAATATCGTGGAGAACCTCTCGGCGTTTGATGGGAGAGCCCTTGCTCACGAAGAAAGCCCCCCCCCCCCCCTCTCGGGCTCTGTCGCAGGGTTTCCAGACTGTCAGGAGCCATCCGTGAATCACACTTTACGCGTGGTGTAAAAGCAACGATAATACCATTGTTATGAGTCACGGTCATGAAAAGTGATTTTCAATAAAGTGTTAACAAATGAGAAATGGCAAAACTAAAAATAGTACACTCTCCATGGATGTACTTTGAGTGAGAAAAACATGAAAATGTTTAGAATTGTTTTTTTTGAGTGCGCCCATAAATATCACAGCATAAATACCGTACAAAATTTCCACGACACAAATACTCCAATGCCTTATGTTGACATTCGACGAAAGTAGTCGTGCGCAGAACACTGGGAGGTCTGGAGGTGTGGGTTTGACATCGAACGGAAGAAAGTGAATGGATGGAGATAAAGGAAAATGAGGATGCTCTGGGGGGTAGGTTCAGCAGGGAAGTCTAACAATCCAAACGTGTGGTTTGGGGATCACGTCGTCAGAGGTGAAAGCTTCACGGAAGGAAATTGTGGAAGGGTTGAGGATGTTGGGGAAAGGCCAAGAGGCAGAGAAAGATGCTGTTGGCGACTTGAAGTGAGCGCGGGATCGGCCCGTGAGATGAAGAAGAAAGCTCGAGGTTGGACAGGATGGAAGTTTGGCCAGAGACCTTTTGCTGGGCAGAGGACTAAAGAGAGTGGTAGACACCATGTCTGTTGATCTATGCAATTGGAATGAATAAATTGTGCTTATTATTTCTAAGTCTCCAAAGGTTTGCTGTATTGTTACCAAGGGGGAGTGATGGCACCGTCTTTGGCGCACTGCGCTCTGAAAACCGATGAACTTGGTTCAATTCCAAGGCAAGGATAACATCGGGTGGCGAGTGACATTTGAACCGGTCCTGCCCCCACTCTGCCGCCCACCTCGCCAACGCGCGCCGACCAGCATGGTGAAGTATGGTCAAGAGGACCACCATGACTCGACGCGGTGTGGTGCAAGGCCTTCATTCAGTAGGGTACTGGCAAAGGGCTCTTAAATTATTACTGTTTTATTATTGCCGCAAAAAAGCCAACATAGGAAGTAGTGACTTGCATTTTTCATTTTAAAAAATGGAGTTAGGAAGAGGTTGTATAATAGAAAGCTTTGACTAAAATAATACCGCGATGTATAATGAAATGCCATAGCCAATGAACATCTGTGGCAGGCTGTGTGCACGGTGGGGTGAATATGCTTTTCATCCTCCCAACTTCTCTCCACGCGCTCGTAAAAAAAACACGCGCCCGCATCGGACACCGCAATAACAACTTGTGCGTCATAAATTTTAATAATACACATTTTATTGGGCCGTATTTCGTGATAGAGAACCTGAAAACCCTCCATGAATACGAGTTAAAGTGTATGATTGCGTAAATACATGGCAAAAATATGGCTAATGGCCGTGCTGCATGGCCGTCCCGGGGCCCGGTGGAGTGTCCACACCCAGAAGCGTGACCTCGCTGGTCCTGCGGTGATCCTCTCCTAGGTCGTGAACCCGTGCGGCTGGGGCGTTGTGGTCAGCGCGATGCCATCACTCGAGCACTATGCCAGGCGCTTTTATTTTTCCTCTAGTTTTAGCATTCACAATGCTTCCAGTTCGTGTTGGATTTTTTTTTAAATGCCCCCTTCCCAATTTGTCTCTCCGAGTAGAAAGAATAATAAGTGGTCTTATCACAAAGCAAATGCCGCATGGCCTTCATGGCGTGCATCTCATTGGCAGCATCCGTTCAATACGGGCAAAAAAAACTCTGGACTGGTTTTGTATGTCTGAACTTCTTTCGCATCATACGTAGCCAACCGTGGTAATCCAAGGTGCGGGGGAAGGACAGCTAGACACAAAAACCAATTAGGTTTCTATGTAGATGATTTAAAAGTTCACAATTCCTGTGGCTTCCTAATGTCGGAAGAAAGAGCATTCCAGACGGCCACAGAAGCACTTCTGCGTCTCAACAGCAGTCGGGCTCGCTTGAACCAATGCTGCTGAAATGCGTGATGTTTATGGACAAGTAGCATGTCTTAGATGTGGGTCTTGGTTCAACCCATAACTATGCAAAAAAAACTATAATCAGTCAGCGTCGTTGTGGAGAATGTTGTAGAGAATAAACAAATGTATATTCTCTTTGTACCGTGTCTGCATTTAAAACGGTCATTCATAGCGTGGATGAATAACCCCACTTGTGTATAATTCAAATCATTACGATGCCGTGATATGAGAACAATAAAACCTACGCTATATAAAAAAAAAATGTGGAATGTATTTCCGTACGTCTGTTCATATTTTCGATTTGTTTTCCCGCACAATGTTTGGTCAATATCTCACCGATTCTTGCTAATTTAATATTCATAAACAAAAACTGTGAAGACCGTGTGCAAATGTGATACAATTAGCATTGCGAGGTGTCGATTCGCAACATTTCATTGCATATTTTGTTTTGAGAATGAACGTTGTGTTAATGCAATTAATATTTTTTACAGCGACAAAAAAAAGCTATAAATATTTAAAAACACAACACTGAATTATTTAATTACCACTCTCCTGTGAAGGCGAGCACCAGATTTACATGTCACCAGGGCAACGGGAAGCCATGGAGCCTGCTGCGATGTGATTGGCTGGATTAGCCACAGAGAGCAAAATAATCCGTTTTGGCAAGGCACGGGAAACACTTGTAAATGCAGGCACACGATATAAACCCTCGGCAAAGAATGCAAATTAGTCGTGAATATTTAGTTGTTGCGGGGGTCTCTTGTAAACATGGTAGTTTTTGCCCTGATTTTTGTTTGCTTAATTGTAGTACAGCGCCGTAGGTTTGGTGGTACCAGGTCACTTGCAAATGAGACTAATCCTGGTCTCTTGAATTCTCACCTGGTCTAAAAATAAATCAAATAAATCTCGGTGTTCTCTAATAGCTCCCTCAGATTGTTGCTTATTTCAGACAAACATACAGAAAATGCCGTTTAGTCCAAACTACATTTTAATATAACCAATATAATTGGGTTCAAACTAATACTTGTCTTTTTAATGACATGTGTGTGTTATCAGCCATATTTGTATGTGTGATGTATTTTTATGTGGTGGCGGTGGCTTGGGATTTGATGTGTACACAATTACGCACGCCTAACTTGCAACACCATCACGACAAATGGTGCCACTAGTTGAACGTGCCACAGAATGCGCGTTGCTCCTCACCCCTTCCATGTCACAGACACACACACACAACAACAACAAAAAAACCGAGGCAAATAAAACATCCACGATCGCCGAAAAAATATATATAAAAAAACCCAACCCCGGAACGGCTCGTGATACGTTTAATCAAACATCCATTTAGGAATCAAAGCCCACCGGATCAAAAACACGCGAGGTAATGACAGCCACGCTGGCAGCACGGGGCGCGTGTGATGTGTCGCAAAGGGTGCCCCAACCGCTGTGACCCGCGAGCTCCGCTCTGATCGTCCCCAGCCCCCCTTCTCTCGTGCCGCGAAAGCGACTCCCGACTCTACCGCGATCTCTTTTTAAACGACGCTCCGGCATCTCGCACGGAGATATGCGAGAGAGCGAGAGAGCGAGGCGCTGGCTCCAAAACACAACCGCGCTCCCCTCCGCGTCGTCTTCACGCTTTGTGTTTCCATTTCTTCACGAGCTGAGGCTCTTAATTCTAGCGGCGGGCCCCACTGATTTAGCGTTGAATGGCGGCTTCTCCTTTCGCCAAAGGTCGCGGGTTGGCGACTGCCGCCGTGGGTCTTTTTGCAACGCCAAATGGCCGGGAAATTGGTGTGAATTTTCATAATCGTGGAGCACGGTTGTTGCAGTTGGCGGTCACTAATTCTCCTCTGTTGCTGCCACGGTCTGAAATTCCCATCCACCCATCCCACCTCCCTACCCTTGTTTTCAAGTCCACGCTCAATCATTTCCTCGACCGCCTATAACCGACGGCCTCCCTCTGTAAAATAAAGAGGCCCACTGTTTCTGTGCAGCATCTAAATATGTAGGGATGTGGTGGCATTTAGATAGGCAAATCCGAGTCACATTGCATTCAGCAGGTGTTCGTGATAATGTTTTGCATTGCAGTGCGATACGTGTAATATACATACGGGCATGAGTTGGTGCTATACATTTTCATGATGTTCTAGAAGGGCTCGCTCAAATTTAGCATACACATATTTGAGCCTATGCTTGTTTGAAAACAATCTGAAACCCGATTTTTTTATTTTAGGTACACCAAGATTGGGTGAGAAAATGTTTGACCTGCGCACCTTGACCTAAGAAAATGTATATCTGGGAGGTTCTCGTGGTGCTGAATATAAATTTGGATTTTTTTTTATGAACTCTGTTTTTCACGTACATTAGAAAACAGATGAAGCCCACTCACAATTTACACGTACGTATGTACACGTGCGACAATATGACCTCTGAACTTGACATTCGTGTCGGGTGTATCTAGGCGAACGTTGGGTGGGGAAAAAAGTGAAAATGAAATGTTAAAACTGAAAATGTAAATAGGGAGAACATGTTGCATATGAATGTCTCCCTCCCTCGCTCCGTCAAGATGAAAACGGCACATGTTTACGAGGAACTATATTGGGAATTCACCCCAAGGTGGCTCAGCTAATATCGCACTCGCGTATGTGCAGTCACGGAGCGCGAGTACACATGATAATGGTTGCTAAGGAACCCCGCGATTTATTCCTGCAATGGCCACGAGGCCACAGTACCAACTCGGTAAGAAGGGTCTCGCTGCGGTTGGCAAAGTGGAGAAGAAAAAATAGATGAGAGCGTACGCGGAATCTGCCACGTCGAGCGAGTCCCCCCGCCGTTAAGAGAGATGCCGGCCCGACTGCCCCGGGGAGGGGGGGGGGGCTCTCGACGAGAAGAGCTCGCAATCACCGGCCGCGATGAACACACACACACATCCTTCTGGAGCCCAGCGTGGCTGACAACCGCGCTTCGTCTTGAACGAGGCGGACGAAGCGCGGTACCTGCTGACAGATTGCGCTGCCGGGGAGCCGTGGACGCTTTCTACACAAGAGCCACTCGTGGAACAAAGCCCCCGTCGCCTCTTCGCTGGTTCATGGTGGGGCCGACGTAGCAGGGCGTCGCGTGGCTCGTTAGCGTCGGGGTCTGCTCCGGGGCAGTGCGAGGTCGCAAAACATAAACAAGACATATGAATCCGGTAAAAAAAAAAAACTGAGTTCAATTCCCAGTCAAGGCTGGCATCGGTGGTGAGTTATATCTCAAGCAGTTGTGGGTAGTAACCCTCTTCTCCAAGCCCCTTCATCAACCCACACAGACACTGGCCAGATTGGTGAAGTATGGTCAAACATAACCTCCATGATACGACGTGGTGTGGAGAGCATTTGATCCAGCAGTTGATTGGCAAAGGAATTATTTTATTTGCTACGGAATACCCCTCGGGAATCTGACACATTATTATTAATACAGTCTGAGTGAGAAAATGATTCACTGGTGATGTCTGATGGAAAAACTGCGTGTTTGTGTGTGTGTGTTTGTCTGTACACGCAAGGTGATGTCGGTGTGGCGACATGGCGGCGAGGCATTCCTGGTAAATAATGATGTATGGTATTAATGATCGCCTCTCATTTACCTCGTGTGTCCAGGCACACGGAACAAAACAACAAAACCATGTTCACAAAAATCCAGGAGGCATCAGCAAGGTAGCCTCATGTATAAATGACCCGTCCCGCGGTTAATAATGGAACACATCTGGATTATTATTTTATGCTCGTTATTATCCGCTGCTGCATCCTAACAGTTAAACCTGCAAACAGTCAACGCGGGAACCTGCGCCTGTTCCAAGGCGCGCGGTCCCAAACGCAGCACAGGGCCAGCACGCAGCTGGGCCTCTCGTCAACAGCCAAGCCCAACAATCGCTGTAAATCACGCGTCACCAACACGGGAATTACCGCGCGATCATCGGATAATGATTCACCGGCCAGGTGGCTCCGAGACGTCTCGCAAACGGGAACGGTGTCATTTCAAAATCCTGGTTGGCGGTTTAGGCCATCATCCATCCGGGGTCGATAAAAAAAAACACGAGTACTGCTTCACGGGAGAAGTAAACAATCGTTGTTCTACGCATATACTTGCCCCCCCCCCCGGCATATGAATGTGGAATTTCCACAACTGGCTCAGGCCCGTGAACGGGGAGATGAGCACAGCCGCTGCAATGCTCATTCGAGCAGAAAATCGCTTCGACTTTGAATGATTTTGCTGCGAGCCGACTGCTGTGAAAGCCGTTTTTCCATGGCGCTAAGTCACGTTGCCATCTACCGTGCGATGATTTTGCAAAAAGAAATATTTTTGAATCTAGCAACGTGCAACCTCTCAGTCTTAAAGCTGTTGTCTCAGTGATTCGTTGTCGTGTGCGCTGGCCACCGGCAGATCGGGTGTGTTCTTTCCAATTTGATCGCCGCCAAATGTCAATTTGGCACTGGATACATCAGGATTGCTATGCTGAAGAAAAACGGTGGCAATTGCCCTTTATTACAGACAAAACGATAGTTTTTGTTTGTTGAGTTGAATGCCATTGTCATCAGTCCAGTTCCCAATATGTATGTTGAACTTCTTTCACACGTAACCAACCGTGCTAATCCGAGGTGCAGGGGAAGGACAACAAACTAAACACTAAAAGCAGTTCTAAAGAAATGTTTTCAATCCATATTCAAACTATATTCAGTCTAGACTTAAAAGTGCATAGCAATATACATATCCCTTACTTGCAGTGTATATACAAGGGATGTTGTTCCCACTTTTCAGATCCATACCAACAATCCGAAAATCAGTCCTCGACAATGGTTATCCGGGCAACTGCCGTTTCTAAAAATGGGCCCACATCATCATCATCATCCACAGAAATGTAGTCAATTAGAATTGGTTGATTAATTAACGTGATGGGCTAATCGTTCCAGCTCTATCTAATGTAAATATTGCCTCGCCTTGCAACAGTTTCGCGATAGTGCAACACGGGTGTCTTATCTCTGCCACAACCTACAAGTAGCACAACTCTTTTGCCCACTGATTGTAAAATGTTATGGATTTTACCAGAAAAATAATGCAGACATTTGTCAACCCACTGCAGGTCGACGGCCTCCCAATGCAACGTCGGTTATTGGTTGTAGTTTTGACCATACTTCACCGTGCTGATCAGTGCGGGTTGGTCAATGGCTGGAGGCAGGAGGGGTCAGGATCGGTTTGGAAATCACTCCCCACCAATGTTTA